GTGTAAGCAAGGCAAAGAAAAAAAAAGCAACCAACCGAAAAACAACTACAGACCACCAAAATGATTGTTTTCTTTCTCAAAACATACGCTGATCCACTGATGGAATCGACCTATCGAACTTTTGTATGACAGCAACTGATACTCCAAACCGCGATATGCTCACTCGGAAACACAGCAAAGGACAGTAGAAAAAACCCCATAAAAATGAGTTCTAGGCAAAGATACAAAAAAAAATACTTTAAACAACGAGGTTTTGCGCAGGGATACGAAAAAAAATAAACCAAAAAAAAAATTCTCTAAGCAGTTGTTTTTCTTCCCACAGTTAAATATTACACCCACCATAAGCTTTTCCTAAAAAAACCTTCGAAAAGGACAATCATGAAATCCGCCAGTGAAATGTTGCTGTTGGCACATGCTACCAACTGGTTGACATTTGAGAACCTTTGCCTTTTATAAAGACTCAAATACGCGTGTACAAGAGGGCACGGACTATTAACTTGGCCTATTACGCATAAATATGCAAAAAAAAAAAATCTAAAAGAAAAAAATATAAGAATTAGAGACAAGAATTCATAAAAAACGAGGTGCTGACAAGGCAAGCAACCAAAAAAAAAAAACACATATGGTTCCACAATCGGCAGCAAACATGAATCCATCAGTTCACCTGTTTCGATAAAATGCTTAACAGAGACATTTTTAGCTAAAAAGTCCTAACACCGGGATAATAAAATCACGAAGGCACACCTGAAGCTTATAAAGCTGCGGCAAAAACACAGCAAACATAAATTATACTGCAACATAGCAGTACCCATAGGCGGATCCAGGAGGAGGATCTTTCGCCCTTCCCCCTCCCTTCCCAATGGCACAGGCAGCAGTTTTGCAGAAACCCGGGTCTGTTCATAAATAAAACTAAAGTAACTTTAAGTAGCAGTGTGTTACAACTCTATTCCCAGTTTTTGTATAGTTCCAGGGTGAGAGGGAGAGGCAGGGGGCAATTTTAGAAGTAATTTGCAAAAGTTTCAAATTATTGAAGGAAACTTTCACCACCTCACCCTCCTCTCCCTCTCCCACTCCCCCACCCCTCCCATCTCCTCCGTCTCCGTCTTCCCCTCCCTCTCTCCCCAGAAATCGGTCCTGGATCCGCCTCTGGCAGTACTGCTTTTGTGAGGTTATTAATTACCTGTTTTACTTTAATACTTTGATCAGCTGCAGATCACTGCGTCATTCTCTAACAGTTTGCTTTGCCCAATACTGCATCGCCTGGTGGTAAGCCTGCTGGCGATCCTGCCGTTCGTTTTGTTTCCTGAAGGATTATCAGCTCAATATGGTTTCCCCGATAGAAGCATTTTGGCAGGGTCACTAGTGTATGTTGAGCATCACCACCTTGTTTCGGAAGATGTCATTTCTGGAATAGGATGAGGTGTACCTGAGTGGTTTAAAAGGGGGAAACCTCAGAAACCAAGCGCTTTAAATTCTTCTATAAAACCACTACATGAAGGTAAAAGAATCGAAAGTCAGGATTATTTAACAGGATAGCAATCAGACTCTGCAACCTTGATGACAGCATGGGGGGAGGAGGGGGAGGGGAGTCATATGCTGGATTGATGGCACTAGAATGGTCTCCCTGAATCAATTAAAAACGAAAATGAAAATACAACCGATACAATCACTACTCTCAGCTAACTATACAAGAATATGCATAAATAATTACGATAATAAACAATAAGCTGAGAGATAAACAAAATGGAGCAATCTTCCATAATACTTCCATGAGAAGAAATTTCAGAACAAATAAAAAAGTTATTAAAAAAAAAAAAAAAAACACCTCCGGGATGATTTTCCTTTTTTTAACTGAATTTTTATGGTCCAAATCTTGATATGACAAAAAAAAAAAACGTTGGGATCGCCAGAAGGCTGACCACTGGACAGCGCAGCATTGGTCAACACAACCGTGGAGCTGGCACGGTTTTCAACTATATCAGTCTAGTGAATTAGCAGCCGTTTCATGTATCAATTATAAATACCAAGCTTTCAGGCTAGACATAAGTGAACGTTTGAATAAAGCGGATGAGATGGAAGGATTCATGAATGAGAAAGAGCGTAGAGCTACAGTGATGACGAGACGAGAAAGAGCACTTTGGACGAGGAATAGTGACGAAATAGCATAGCTGCTGTTCAAAGTATCAAAGTAACAACTACGCTTTAGCGATGACTTTTTTCTAAAAAAAAAAAAAAGAATTTTAGAGCAAAATAATCATCAGAATAACGAGTGCTGTGTGTTAATGTGATTGCTCTTTGTCGGGACGCAATGGCAGTTTTGGGTCCAAACCAAGTGTTTCAAATTTAAAACGCCAATATGCGACAATCATACGATCCCAAATATTGCCAAAATCGGTGATTGCTGGACGAACATCCAGGACGGTGAAGAGTTTCGATTTTGGATCCACCGAACCACCATCATAGAAATCGATCACATATCGAACCTGCAATAACCGCTATCAAATATTGTTGAAAAACAGAAAACGAGGAAAGATGGATTATTTGGCTCATAGTTCACAGTCTGGTTCTCCCATTTAGGGCAAATTTTGCAGTTAACTAATGCTGTTTCGTCTGGTGGCGATTCTGATGATCGTTTCGTCTCCTGAAGAGATTACCAACTGAAGCGCTTGTCTGTTAGAAATACTTGGCAAAGCTGTAGCTGCTTTCATTTGCCCTCCTGTGATGTGTGATGAGCATCACCAATGGATGAGCTCTTTCGATGACATTCCAGCTGAACGTCGACCACTGTCAGATCATGGTAAAATAACCTATTGACTAAGAAATTGGGTATCCTGAAGCAGTTGCTTTCAAAGGATCCATGCTTCATCAAGTTGGTAAAGATAAGCTTAAAATTTCAATAGCATACGGTAAATTCTCATCCCGCAAAAAAAAATACATGCTCTTGAAGAAGCAACCCAGGCTGGAACGCACCAGGCGGGCCGGTGCGATTATGCGTTTTTGCACTTCTCGTGCCGTACCGTGCAAGATCGCAAGGAAATAAGTGTAGCTAACCCTGTGAAATACTGGCCCTCGGAGTTCGGAAGTAAATTGTGCAACTATGTGGTATGTCAGTTGTGAGTATCTGATCCTGCAACATACTGACTCTCGAAGTCCGAGAAGTTAGTTATGCAACTATGTGGTATGTCAGTTGTAGGTGATCGGTGACCCGGTAAATGGAAAGGTGCTGGTCCGCAAAAAAAGCCACACCAGAAGAGTTAAATTTGACCGGCAAATGGAAAGGTGCTGGTCCGCAAAAAAAGCCACACCAGAAGAGTTAAATTTGAAATCTTTATGTCAGTTGTAGATGTCGGTTTCAGTGACCCGGCAAATGGAAAGGTGCTGGTCCGCAAAAAAACCACACCAGAAGAGTTAAATCTGAGATCTTTTAGTAGTACCTAAGTAGGGAATATTCCCTAAAATTAAAGCCTTTAAGCTTATCTCGTTCCCAAATTGGCAGTTTTCCCACCAAAATTTTCACTTGTCCCTACGTGATTACGGGACGCTTTTAAGGTGGTGAATTTTAAAATCTTTTGGTCGTACATGAGTAGGGAACGTTATCCTGAAGTTTCAGCTTTCTA